CTTCAGATAAATAAAAGAGAGGTTACCAAATAGAGGTTACAACATTCTCTATTTCCTATCACTTTCACGGTCTCTAAGTGTACTTACGATAAAGGCAAGAATGAAACTTTCTTTCAACCATCCGAGAGGAGCTAAAAGAGGAAGGAAGAGTTGGACAAGACACAAAGGGATCAACGACATCAAAGAGAGAGGTAACATCAAGGAACAATGGATTCATCTTAGTGCTCTCTAAACTCTTAATTGTATGAGAACCATGTGTTGTGTTATGAGAACAATGTAATTGAAGATCTAATAAAAAATGGTAATTTCATAATAGTCATTACATAATGAAAATTACATAATGGATTAAGAAAATTCTAACATATCTTCCTAAGCAAGTAACGAAATGCATCGAGGTATCAATGGTTTCCATTCAACAGACAATTATGCTATCTTTAACTAAAAATTTGGTTTACCTGTTGCCAATAGCAATCTCAGCAGTATAAATTCTTAAAAATTAATAAAAAAAATCAAATTGAACCATAAAAAATGCGTTACCATTGGAAGACAAATCCTTAAAGATACCTAATAGAATTTGACAAGAGAGGAGAAATACTCACATGTTTTTGTAATTTTATCAATCAGCCGTATATATATATAAGTTCTATTTACAGAAAAATTATATTGGAAAAAATAATAGAAAAAATCTCCTATAAACATGTTAGTAGAATATCTTGATGAAGAGAATTGATGTTAACCAACATCAATTATCCAAGTAATTTTTTTGCGGTTATTTCAAAATATCATTTAATATTTATTCTCAAGATTACTTTTGAGATTTCGTGCATATACAGCGTGGCATATATCTCATGCATGTTGATACTTGTAGAGTCGAATAATTATTGTAAAATAACAAAAAAACCATTTAACGCATTTCGATTTTATACTGAAAAATAATCATAATAATTATTTACTTTTAAAAACTAACTACACATTGCAAAATATATAATCAATCAAGTTCGTAATCTTAGATGAAATAGTAGAAATATCCATAATTAGATTATGGACAAATTAGTATCTTTATGCAACAGCTGTCTCGCTAAGTCCTTATCATGGTTGCAGCCTTGTTGGCGGACAACTTGTTCTTCGGCTTTGTTCGTCAGTAGTAAAACTTTAGCATTCTTTTTCAAATCCCTGAATATGGACGTTCCTCCAAACATCAACACAAAGGATTGGTGGAGAAGTTCGATAGGTTTTCTTTTTGCCAAAATTAGGTCAATGAAATTGGGTCAACTCTCTAGGAGTAGGCAATTGTAAATTACCTTGTGGTATGCATGTAACTTCACCGTTCACCATATAATCTTCTAGCCCATGCTGATGTAAAGCTAATACAAAACTTGGTCTTTTCAAATGCGGTTTTTAACACCAATTTTAACCACAATATTTACATTATTTAAAAAAAAAGAAGTAATTGCGACTATCAATGACATTTCAAATCTTCAAAACCGTGTTGAAGCCTTAAAGGCATAAAACAATTGTCATGTATCCACTCCACTTTAATTTGTATTCATGCTTCTTTTTAATATTCTCAAGTATCGTTGTCTTTGTCCGTTCGTTCTTTCTTTTTTTAAAAATATTCAGCATAAATACTCAAATTAACGAAGGACAAATAAACCGGTTGCTTAGAAGTTTTCTTTTTCTTTTTGTTAAACAATGTGTGAAGTTAATTTTTCTTATCTAGAAAATTCATAATTGTATCTCAAAGCTATTAATATTGCTCCTTCCCTTCCTTTCAAAAAATTAAAATGAAAAAGCTTTTTATCTCTTAAGCTTTTGCTAACTTTACACTAAATATTTTAGCTCATTACCTTAAAATCAGACCTCCAATTTTCTTACAAATTCCTTTAGCATTTGTTTAGAATGGGGTCAGAAAGGATTTTAATAAATATATTTAATATTATTTTTAAAAAATAAAAATTTATAATTTTCTTAATTTAAAAATAAAAACACGTCCTCCTCTTACCTTCTAAAAATTACCTGTCAAAGATACTTTCAAATGATTTATTATGCATATATTTATATCACAGACGTACTTTATGAGACCCTTCTTTCTTTATTTAATGCTTTTATTCACTTTTTTCTTTCCTTTTGCATACTCGTTGTTATGTTCATCTTTTATTGCATACATTTATATGAATGCCCCGCACCACATATTCCAGCCTCAGTATAAGAAATAGAATTCCATTTCGAATGCATCAGTTTGCTTTCTCTCTTACCTGCCCACAGCCTTTACCATATTCAAGTGGCTTTCCAACTACACCTACAATCATTCACAGTAACAAGAAATTATATACATAGAAGTGGTTGAGACGCAATCATATACAATAAAGTTAATGCCCTACTTCAAATATTCAATGGCTAGATTCTCTAGAACTGCTTTAGCTTCATTCTACCATTCGTACCCAGATTTGTTTTTTATTTCTATTTTGTTACATAAATATCTCTCGCACACTTTCATATCGTCAATATTACATTAAAAGGTCCATCTATTATTATTAATATATCTGATTTTTAATTTTTAATAAATTTTTCACTTTAATATGATTCCTTATATTTTTTTTAATTACTTTAAAGCAAATGCATTAAGTTTCTTTAGACTACTGATTAAAGAATTAAAAACAAACAATTATTAAAAATATTATTAATGCAATGTTCCTATAATTTTTAATGTATCACAAGTCAACATAAATTTTAATAAATATTTTTACTTTTATTTCTCTAATCGATCTTTATCGTTAGTGCTCGTCAATAAGCCCTTTACTTTAGTAAGTCTTTTTTTTTAAAACAATTTTCTTTACCTAAAACATTCAAAATCCTTATTTTATTCAAATAAATAAAGGTGTGTGATACATTTTAAAAAAAAATTGAATTCATGATTAAAAAATTTAGTAAAACATTGATGAAATTTGAAAAAAAAATTATAGAGTGAGATTAAAGTTTTAAAGAGGAAGAGTTTTTTTTTAAGAGAATTTTAATATTTCGAAGAAAGAGTTTAAGCGAAAGATGGTTTGAATGGTTTAGTTTCAAGAAAATAAATAAATAATTAAAACTTTTAGATTAAAAGAACTGTAAGATGGACTTGATAATAGTAGTTTAAAATTTATAAAATTAGTTTTAAGTGAAAAATATTAAAAGGTTAAAAGTGAAATTAAGTTTAAATAAGTAATTAATTAATGAAAATATCATAAATTTTTTAATCTTTATAAAAAAATTATTTTATTTTAGTTGCTATATTTATCAAATTCAATGTGTTTTTGCTATTGCACTAAAGACTAAATTAAATAATTTTTGCATTAGAATAAACATATGCCAAAAAAATGAAAACAACGTAATATTAGTACTTTTAAGAGAAGAAAATAAAATAAATAAAATTTATCTCATAAATTAAAATTAACTTATACTATTTTATTTTTTTAATTTTTTAAAGATAAATTCTTTAAAATATAAATTAATTTTAAAATATGACAAATATTTTATTTATTCTATTTCAATATTTTCTTACAAATACTTTTTTAGAAACTTACTTAAACTGAATTTATAAATATCTTGCTAATATTTTTGTAAAGATATTGATTAAAAATAATAAATAAGAATTTTTTAATTAAAATTATGAGAACAAATGTATTATTATATTTTTTAATAAAAAATGAAGTTTTAATTTTTTTTTATACTGATTATCATTAATGGAACTAGATACATGATAATTTTGCAGAGGGTGGGGGTAAGTGATAAATGATAATTTTTCATTATAGCATAATCCAGCTGTGGTACCGCCGCATACAGCTGTCATGGTTGGCTTCAGCAATCTCTTTCCTACTTTCTGGTAATAGTTCCCCTTCCTACTCCACACACTTATTGCATCCAATTCCATATATCACCATCTCCCAAAGCCAAACTTGACGGAGAGCCACTTTCATTCGCCAATTTTCGGCAGTTAGAATAATAATTCATCACTTGTAGTTTTCTATGTCCATGAAATAAATTGAACTCTTCCGTGTATTCATGCACTCTCTCTCCCCTTCCCATTCCATTCCCAATAATGCAACCTACATCCATAATATCACCCTCCTAGGGTCGCCCACGAACATATACATAAACTATGTGACGCAATCATACAGGGGAATCGATATGTACTAGGTACTCTCATTTGATTTGACCTGAAACACACGCCGCCATATTACAACTTGTCCTTAAAATGACATTGCATACTCACCCTCACCAGTTACAACCAAACACTAACTGTAGCACATTGTTACCCTCGTAACGTTAACTTGTTTCGCATAATTTTTAATTGATGGCCCACCCTTAAGGTAAATATTGTTTTTTCTTTGATCTTATCCTCCTCACTTGACTACTCGCTGCTATGATATCCAAATATCAACTTTTGGATTAGGCAATCGACACATTAAGTGTTTAAAAAACACCTCAAAAATCTAACGGGAGTATACTCATTAGGTTGTGAACGAGACAACCATGGTAATAAAAAGAGTTTCGTTATTTTAATCAATAAAAGAAGATATAGTTTATCATTATTATTTATATATTTCTCATGTTTTTAGACATTTCTATAAATACCTTTAAAAAATACACTCTAAAAATATCTCCTGTTAATTATACATAAAATTCTTTTTAACAAAAATAAAGAGAACCGTGTCCTTGAAAGCCAGCCATATGGATACTTTATCCACCAAGCAATGTTACTTCATCTCGCCCTCAGTTCTCGATGCTTCCAAGACCCCTTTTCAGTTTACTTACCAAATTTCCCTCATCAGTCACTAACACACCAGTTTCCTGATTCAGGTTTCTTCCGCGTATGCACCACCACATCACAATGTCCCACTTACACATATATTCGATTATTTATATTAATTGACACGTACTTAGTATTTACCCCCTCGTGTTCAAACCTCAAACAACTCTCGTCTGCTATAAATACCGGCCCTCTTACTTCTCATTCCAGCAATCAACATCTCCAATAACAATATATACACCTTGAATTAAACTCCCTTTTGCTATAGCCTATAACCATGACTCTCTCTAAGCTTCTAGTTGCTTCCCTTCTTGCATCGCTTCTCCTTCTTCATCTTGTTGATGCAAACGACCAACCGGTATGATTAAAATATTCTGCCTTTTCCTTTTGGTTCATGTCACATGAACCGAGCTAGTGTTAATTATTTTCATTCTTTTTACTTAGCATATACTTAATTAACTAATTTATTAATGTTTGGAACCGCAGGCAAACGCACAAATACAGGGTTCTCTGCTTCAGCAAATGGGTACGTAAATACTAAATTGCAAGCACAACTTTAAAACACAATTAAGTCATTATTTTAATTGATATGAAATTTGAACGCAATTAATTATATATATATGTGTGTGTGTGTTGGGTATAACTATAGATTGTAATGGAGCATGTTCTGCGAGGTGCCGTTTATCATCGCGTCCAAGGCTTTGCCAAAGAGCATGTGGAACTTGTTGTAGACGCTGCAATTGTGTACCACCGGGCACTGCTGGTAACCAAGAAGTGTGTCCCTGCTATGCCAGTTTGACTACCCGTGGTGGCAAACGCAAGTGCCCTTAGACCTTCAAGCTCTATAAATATTAAATACCACCATCTCATGCATTACATTATGTTATAAATAAATAATAACCTTAATTGGTTCGCAATCACTCGCATAGCATGTTGGTCGATGTGCTCTCAAGGTTATCGTCCCGTTTTCAATACGTGTTGAATCGCCGAGTTTTGATTTTGATGTATATTTACAAAATTATTTATTGTATTCTGAATTTGTGATTCTGTTCGCTTTTGTTGTTTATTGACCTTCCTTCTACTGGTGCACCATTTATGATTAATAAGAGTTTATTGTTTAATATTTTTATTTAAACATGTAACTTTTTTTTTGGTAACGAGTAATGTTAATAACATATTTTTTAATATATAAAATTTATTAAAAATTATAAAAATTGTGGATTTTTATTTTTAATTTAATATTGTTTTCGTAAATTAGTTTTTTTATAATTTTAATTAATAGTTAATATTGACAAAAATTTTATTGGTAGCATTCCGCTTGACGCCGGAATGAAAAAAGAATAATAAGAAATTAAACAAAACTTCGTTATTTGTATCCACTGACACTTTTCAAAATATTTTTATATCCTATAATAATTTAAATTAATTTACAAACAATATTGATTTTCGTTTAAAAAATATAAAATTATGATAATAGATAATTTCTTTTCAATCTTGATTTTATATAAACCAACAAGGACAAAAACTCAGAGGAAAAACTTTTCTGCCGTAATAATTCTGTTGGACTTAAACATTATTATTTTTAATTAAAAATATCAGTAAGTTAGAAAAAAAACCAAAATTAACTTAGTTTCTTTTAAAGTTTAACATAATTTAAAATTATTAAATATATAATATTAATAATAAATGTATTTTACATAGTATTTTTTTTAATATGCTAGCCAGTTTTTTAACAACAAAATTAACAGAATTAAAATATATGACTTAAATTTTATAAACATAATTACAATTTATTTATTTTAATCATATTCTTAATATAATAACTGGATTATTTATATATTGAATAATAACAAAATGTTGATGATAAAGCACCTAATTTTTTTTCCTTAGAAGTAGAGTAACATACATGACAAACAGCAGTCGTTCTCTTGCCCTGATTGCTGACTCACACGTGCATCAGCACGCACAAACAAAACACCTATTTTTAAGGTGTTTGTTTGGGAGAGGATGGGAAGGAGGCTGGATTGTTTCATAAGTGAGGGAAGAAAATATTTTGAATAGGGATTTGTATTGAAAAAGGTTAAATAATTTTTTTATTTTTGCATATATTTTTATTTTTGGATTTAATTTTTTTAACAAAAAATTGTTAATGTTTAGTTTTTAATATTTTAAAGAAGTTAAGAGTTAAAAAGTTACAAAAACTTTGAATGATACAGAGTAATTAAAATCTTAACCACTAATTATTAATAATTTTATGAGATAATACATTTTATAACACACTCTTAATTAATTGTTAAAATTAATTAAAAATTTAAAAAATATTAATTTAGTGGTGAGAGAGAGTGAGACTCATAACTTTTACAATTTTTAATAAATTTTAACTAATAATTAAGAGTGTGTTGTAAAGTACATTGCTAAAAAAATTATTTCAGTGTGAAAAAATTAAATTAAGAGAAAATGAGAAAAAAAAGAAAACAATATTTATGCAATATAAATAAAAAATTAATAAAATTCATTTTTATAATTATTTGTAATATAATTTAATTATTATTTATTTATTTAAATAAGTAAAAAATTTATTTGTCTCTTTATTTATTATTTAGTTCATTAAATAATAAATTGTTATTATATTTTTTACTCTTCTATTTATTTTTCTCTATTTTCCCTCTTTATGCCCTTGAGAATTATTACAAGGGGCATATTTTGGCACAAGATGAGACTGCATAGTTTTATTCCTTTTTTATAAAATTTTTAATTGTAAATTTATATTTTTCTAATTAAATTTAGTAAATGAAACTTGATTTTGTAAATTTCAAGATAAGATTTATAACAAAACACCAGATTTTATAAAATATTTTACAGAATTTATACTTTCAATCTTATTTTCACAATTATTATATTGGGACACTTTCCTGTTAAATACAATTAACAGCAAAACTAAATCTTCCAAATACATAATGAATAAAATATATCATTCAAGTCCAGTTGTCAGAACATCGACAACATAACACAGTGGGTGTACGGACAAAGTATACGTTAGTCAACTTAATATTGGAAAATCAATTTTAAAAAAATTGAAAGAGTATATAGATAATTTATGGAAATAATTTATAATTATAATAATTTTTCACATAACTTATTAAAATAAATTTTTAACTTATTAAATAGATTTAAAATTAAATTTATAATATTAAAATTATTAAATAATTACTTAATTAAATTGTAAAGAAACACACTTTTAATCTGACAAGATAATGATCTTGGTTAGAATTTGCAGCCCAATCATTTTACATGAGAACTATTATGCATGGCGTGTCCATTTTTCTTGAGATAAATAATAGAAATTGATGTTGTAGTTAAATATGATTAAATATATAGTTAAAATAAGCATTTTAAACCATTTACATTTTTCTGTTTAAAATAACTATGCTAAAAAAGATAACAAACTATTTTTTAGAGAAAAATAGTGCTTTATTCAGTCACACAGCTAAGGAGTAGTTAATTCTTGTTGCTCACGATGGCTCACTACGATCTTCTGTGATTCTAATCTTGTAAAACAAAGGTTGCTCTTTCATAGTTTCATAGATAATCCAATAGTAGAAATATAATTACATTTTAAATAGTATATAATATGTTAAATATATAATAAAAATGTTGTGATTAAATATTCGTTTTGTTTTAAGAAGTTGATTTATTTTTACAATGGAAAATAAACAGTCAAAATGAAGCCCATTTTGAACAGAAATGAATATGTAAAATAGACCAAGCCCAACTCGCTGTTATCCGTGGTCGCATAATTACGCACACAGTAGCGAATATTCCAATGACAGCAGTAAACTCCTCATATTTGTTTTGACGAAAAAAAATCTCAAATTTGTTAAAAATATTCCCAAAATTTCCATCAAAGCTAAACAAATTATGACTTGCGCAAATATTTTTCACAAAAAATAAAAATAAAAAAATAGAGTGATTTTTAATAAGGTACAAAAAGACAAGCTTTCTAACCATAACAAGACAGTTTTAAAAATTATTCATCAAAATAATACTATTTAAAAGTGAATTAGTAAAATTATTGAATTCTACATTGTTTAAATAATATTGGAATAAGTGTCATTAGTTGAAAGTACTACATTTTGAATGTGTTTTTTTTTTTTTTTTTTGCCCTAAACATTAAAAATTGACATATTATAGGTTACGTATTAGTTAAGTTTTAAATTTAAATTTTTCTTTTATTTTAATCAAAATTTAAAATTTAATTTCCTTTCATATTGATTTAAGTTTAAATTTTAATTTTTCTCTTTGATAAATATATATTATAATTTGATATGTCTGAAATTTATTTGATAAAAATTTTATATTGATTTATTTATTAATTATTATAATTTAGCATAAATCAATCACCAACAAATTATATAAGCATTTTAGTCATAATTAGAAAAAAAAATTTGATAGAAAATAGATCGTGTATAATAGGAAGCACGACCAGTTTGAAAATATTTTATATTTATTTGTATTTTTTCTATAATATAATTGATTTAGAGTTTTTCAAAGTTAAAAAAAATACTATCTAAGGATAATTAAGACTTATGACTCAAACAACTGTTTTTAGCTAACTTTTAGAATTGTTTAGAAGTGAAAATTATTAGAGAAAACGAAATATACTTTTCTAGAATATAATTAAATTATCAAGAGCTATTTTTTTATAATAAAAACTCTTATAATCTCTTTCTTTTAAAATTATTTTAGTTTGTATTTCTTTTCGAATAAATATGAATTTTTTATAATTATGTTTTTTTCTTATTTTATTATGAGTATTTAAATTCATACATAAAATTAGATAAATCTTTTGCATACTTGACGTGATAATTGCATTTCTTTTTTAGATTTTTGCCTAGTTATATTTGTATGTTTAGAATCGGATAATAACTCAAAAAAAAAATGTTAATATTACATAATTATTGTTAGTAATTTTAGTATGAATGATTAATGATTATAGAAAAATTTAGATTAGAGTTAAATTAAAAATAAACATAAAATAGTGTAAAGATGAAATTATATATTTTAAGTTTATCTCAAATAATTTTGTATTAAAAGTTACACTATTTACTTTTCTTTTAATTACTCTTTTTATTTTAAATTTTTTATAAATTTCTTTTACATGCTATTTTAGTTCAAACAATTGAAACATAATATTTTCCATAGTTAAAAATAATTTTTATAAGAAGATATTATGAAAATTCAAGTTGAGAGAAAATTCCTTTTATTATTTTTCAATTGGTACATTTGCACTTTAATCGTAATTTAAATTTAAATTTTAAAATTTTATCTTAAATTTTAATTAAAACAAAATAAAAATTTAAAATTTAAATTTAAACTTTAGTAAAATAAGAGAAAACTAAAATAATTGAAATTTGAATTCAAATTTTTGTCTTAAATTTTAGTTGAAGAGAAAGAAAATTAAAAGTTTAAATTCAAGCTTTAGTTAAGATAAAAAGAAAAACTGAAATTTCAATTTGAATTTTAAAATTTACTTTAAACAAAAAAAGATAATAATTAAATTTTAAATTTATATTTTAAGACTAAAAGATTAATTGTTGTTAAAATGTCTGATATTAATTACAAGAGTTAGGATAATTCTCCTTTTATGAATTATTTTTTGACAGATACTTACATAGTATATTTATATTGTTGTGTGATGTTCTTTTTTAACTTAATATTATTTAAATATAATTGAATTTATTTATTTTAATAATTAATTTTTAAATTAATGTTATTTTAATAAATAATTTTAAAAATTATCTTATTATAATTAAAAAGCCCCAAAAATCACATTCACGTATTAAAAACCATTCCGCGTAAACAAATATAGTGTTTTAAATATACTTATTTCTCAAAAAGGGTATTTAGCTAGCTAAGAGAAGGCGTGAGGGTGACAAAAACCTGCAGAAGTTATTGTAGTCAGACAAACCATAGCCCCACTTAGGAATGTGATGATGGTTACTTCAGTCATCAACCTCACACTGATCTTATGGATAATGCTGTCAGATCAAAACAGCTGTTTTCGATAGTTTTTCTTTCCTTTAAAATCAAAATCTCTACACTTTTCGTTTTACTTAATTCACCCCAACTTTTTGTCACATAAGCAATTGGAAATATAATATTGCTCAACACTCAAGAGTCAACACTAACGCAAAAGAAAAGGAAGCTAACCAAGCAAAGTGCAATTCTAGAGAATTTTATTTGACATCATAATTATTAGAAGTAAAATTTTATGATTTGTAACAATTTATATTATATGATCAATTATAAATTTACTTTTTATGATACATGAATAAATTGTTGTGATCTTATATTATCGATACGAATTTTATATTTTTTTATTTCTTATCAGAGATATTAAAATTTTTAATAATTTGAATGGTTAAATTAAAATTTTTATTCACCCATTCTTTATACTATATTTAAATATTTTATTTTACAAGAATTTTAGTCTTCTAAAATGAATATTTCACGCACTCAATTATGATTTATAACTTTTAATTGTAAGACTTATCATTTTCTAATTTAAAATTATTATATTGAGTATTATACTTAATTTATATGATATAATTCAATTTATTTTTGTTATACCTCTAAATCTTACGATTTGATACATTTTTTTTTATCAATCTTACGATTTAATATGATTCATTATTCACAATTCAAAAATTAATTTAATTAACATGCGATTGAATAACCATATTCAACAGAACTTTATTTGGTGAAGAATACTCTCACCCTTATCTTATGATATACCTCATAGTCATAGACCCCATATCTAGATATAGCGAGAGTTATTCTCGTATTTATATATTTAATAAGTTTAATTTTGGGGTAATCTTAATATACAATTTTTTATATTATTAATTAATTAAGTAAAATATTATATGTGTATATATTATATTAATTACTACAAAATTAATAATTTTTATTTATTTGAAAGTTTATAATTAAAGTGACTTAGTATATTTAAATTAAATTCATTCAACAAAATCTCACAAGAAAAGAAAAATGAAACTTCTGCTATATAAATTAATAGATGGGAGAAAAGGTGGATGCAGTATAATTTGGATAGCAGATTTATCATATATGAATATAATATGGGTGTGAATAAAGATTTTCTTTACTCAATTTAGCTTACTCTCAGTTATGAAGTATATTAATTTTATTTAATTGAACTCAATCTATTTTTTTAACAACGTGTGTCTTTTAATGGATAGGTTGATAATTAAGCATGAAATCTTTTATATTATTTTAAGATGTTAAGTTTTTTAATATTCATGGAAGTAGGAGAAGGTGATATGCTGAGAAAAATATTTTATATCAGATCGTTACAAGTGTAATATCTTCTTTCAAATATTAATTCTTTGTATTCAATTTAATTAGACTCGTCATATAAAACAAAATCTTGTCATACAGAAAATGATGTCTACATAGATTTGATCAAAGGACAACTGTATCCAATTTAGTTGAACTTTTTTTTTTTTTTTTAACTTTTGCGTGTTGAGCTCTGTTTTGCAAATGAGGAGTTTCTTGAAGACTTCATGTATAGAACAATTTGGCTAACAAAAGTTCTTTTGGCTTGTAGTATTAATTATTCCGTCAAACCAGAATGGTTAGAAACTAGTCATTCATCATTTAATACCTTCAGGACAAAAAGAAACTTGATGATAATTTCTTTAAAAGCAACCTTTCACAGGAAACACAAGATAATGAATTTTACTTCATTCATAACTTCACTCCCACATAAGGTCAATACATAGATGTATCTATTGTCTCTTAATTTTATTTTAAATATTATTTTTTTATAATTATATTAATAAAATATATTTTACATAATACTTTTTAAAATAAAAATAACAACAAACACGTTCTAGAACAAACGGAACTCATTAATACACGCGCTTGAGTTCATTTCATGTTTTACATCGAAGATAAGACTGAATTCATTTCATGTTTGACATCAGAGATAAGACAAAAGTCAAAAGCTGTAAGTAACTAAGGGCATTTGTGTCTTCCGCCGTGGGTGGTCATGTTGGCATAGCATGGACACTCTTCGTAGTTACCGGAGGTACCTGAAGGTACACAATTGCATCGCTCACAACATGTTCCACACGCTCTATTACATAGATTTGGCCTTGAAGATAACTCGCACCTTCGATTGCAAGCTCCATCACAATCTGCATTAGCGATAAGCAATGCACTCCAATCCACAGGTTAAAATATTAAACATGCACAAACGGTTATTCAAGAAAAGATTGTTGCACGAATTTGTACCTATCTTTGGTGGAAGAGGGCTGGGACTTTCGCTCTCCACCATGGTGCTTATTATCTAATTGAAAAGAAATACAAATTATAATTCTTTTTGAAGGTTGATTAGAAACAAATAAATAAAAAGGTTGATGGGTTAAATACCTTTGTATCTGATTCCACTAGGTGCAAGATGAGCAGGGAAATGAGGATTGAAGCAAAGAGAGTCTTAGGGATGGCCATGACTTTAAGGCGAGAGTTTTGTTTCTTTCACTTGGTCAAGAGGGTTTGTGACTTGTGAGGCAGAGGAGAGCAAGTATGTTGTATTTATAGCCCACATGGCATGGCTAATTCAATTTAATTAAAGAGGTCCCTTTTCCTTTTATGAAAGTTTGGTGAACTGGCTGTTTTCAGTTCTTTTTTCATTACACTTCATTTTTAACCATGAGAATAATTAATATTTTAAATATGATATTATGTGCAATTAATATATATTAAATTTTTATTATTTAAACTCTAATTTTATTGTAAATCTCTAAATTAATGATCCATAATTAATCTTTGAAATTTTAAAATAAATTTATTAATCTTCAATTTTACTAAATGTTAATCACTTTAATTTAACAAAAATTTTTAATTATAATAATACTAATAAATATGCCTGCATTGCACAGATTTATTTTATTTTTATTAAATAAGTTTATTTTAAAATAAAATATATATAATTTAAATATAAAATAAATATAAATATTATAAAAAAATTATTATATTAAATATAATTACACTAAAAAATATTATGTCTGTGCATTGCACAAATTTTTATTAAATAAAAATATATAATTTAAATATAAAAAATATATAAATATGGTAAAAAATTATTATATTAAATATAATTACATTGAGTAAGATTATGAAATACTTCCTTACACACAATGTTTTTTTATATATCATAAATCTATATATTTTGAACTATTATTTATAATATATTAAAAAAATTATTAATAAATAAATAAGCATATATTTAATTTATAATTTATATAATATAATATTAATTGTAAGATTAATTATGATAAAATTTATACATATATAATTAAATTATATTTAATAAATAAATAAGCAAATATCATCATAATTTATAATATTAATACTAATACATGCATGAATAAAATTTTATAACGATTCTATAATTGAAATAAAGAAGTAAATTAATTTTAAAATATAAAATAATTTTAAATAATTATTTATCAATTTAATAATAATAGAATTAATAAAATTAAAATAATATTTTAAAATTTTAAAAATAATAAATTAACATAATAATAGAACTAATAATATAATGAATCTTAAAAAAAATACTAATAAATAGATAAGTGAATGTTTAATATATATATATATATATATATATTGTGATATATATTATTAGTTATTTTAAAATAAAATATAATAAATAAATTATATATTGTAATAATTATAATAATTTTTTTAAAATAAATAAATAAATATTAATATACTTAAAAAATTTCTAAATTTTTAAAAAAATTAAGGATAACATTAATAAATATTACAAAAAATAAATTAATTTATAAAATTATGATACATAATAAATTAATAATAATATAATATATAATTTTAATATTTTTTAGTTTTAATTATTTATTAATAGATAAAATAAATAAAATTAAACTACTAAACTAAAAGAAACATGTTTTTTTTTTTATGAGTTACGCTTTTATAACAGATGAGACAACGATCATGACTTTTGTTAAAATTCTAGGAAATTTTGCCTTCTTTTTAAAAATTTAAATTTAAATTTAGATGGCTGAGTGCAACATTTCCGTCCTTTTCTTTTATCTTTTCTCTTTCATTCTCTTTCTTTTTTCTTTCTTTTTATTTTCCATTTTATTACCTTCCAAGTTTTTGTGTTAAAAAAATTGATTCTCTTCAAAGAAAGTTTAGTAAAAAATTAAATAATTAATTTTATTATTTATATAATTTATTAGATAGTTTATGATAATAGATATTGATAATTATAAAGGTTAATATGACATTATAGTAATTATTTTGTAATAAATTAAAATCGAGTTAATAATAAATACATCAAAAATGAAAAATTAGTAATATATATCATTGGATTATTTAATAAAAAATTAAATTTGTATTATTAATTTTTTATTTACAGATATAATTTATGATTATATATGAAATTTATTAATAATAATAGATATATAATAATTATTAAAAAAGTACATTAGTATACTTAATTACAAATATTGAGTTATTAGTATTATAGGTATGGAAATTATTAATAATTAATAGTATTATAATTATGAGTATTATTATTAATTAATTATGTTATTTTTTAAATGTTGTAATTAAAGTTTAAAAATTATATCATTGTACTTATTTAATAGTTTGTTTTTATTTTAATATTATGTAATTTTTTTAGATAGTTCGTTGTTATTTTATTAGGAAATTAGTAGTTTTTGGGTAGAAAATGAGTAGTATTAACATTATAATAATTTATATTGTTGTTATTATTACTTAAGTATTAAAATAATTATTTTGATAACTAAAATTTGGACTAGGGGTTTTATCGGATTGAGAAGTTTGGAGAGCACTTTAGGGTTTACTTGTCTTCAAGATAGGGTCTTTGGCTCTTTCAAGAAATAGAGAGGGAGGTGCCGCTAGTGTTCTCGCCCTAGTTGGCCTAAGAGAGAGTGACATAGTAAAGACAGAGCCACAAGAAGAAGAAAGGCAGGCTAAGAGTACCGGGGTTTCGACTCTAGTTTGGTGGGATTCGAGCAAGATGGAGCGTCTGATGGGGAAAAATGTAAAAGGAAGAGCTGGATGTTGTGGATCTATGCTCAAAAAAGGTGAAAATAGGACCTGAGGAAGCTATAGAGGAGACAACGAATGATTTACAGGAAGATTATCGATCTGCAGAACAGAGGCCTAATCAGGTGCACTCGATCCTTAATCTTTCTAAACCTTGTTCATATAAAGACATGGTATTAGGAACCAAAGACTAGATCTGGTCCTGAATGATGATAAAATCCTAAAATCGATTTTAAAATATTTTCATCTTAACCCTGAGAATTTTGAGGATGAGCAAATAATGTTAGACACCCAAAATCTATGTCTTAATCTGAAAATTCCTTTAGAAGATTATGAGGCTTGGTACTCCCCTTGAAAGCACACCGTTATCGTAAAACTGTTAGGTAAATTGGTGAGTTTTATCTTTCTAAGCCAAAGATTAAACAATATTTGGGGTAAACATGATTCCTTGCAAATTCTAGACTTAAATAACGAGTTTTTTTTTTCCTGGTTAAGTTTGAAAAAATGGAAGACTATAAAATTGCCCTCTTTGAAAGGTCGTGGCTTATTCTTGACCATTACCTTCTCATACAAAGATGGAGACCCTTGTTTAGGACTAAGGATTTCAATCTCAAAAAAATAATTGTCTGGGTTCGTTTACCTGATCTTCCCCTAGAATTGTATAATATAACAAATTTCTTTGGCAAGTTAGAGCTTGTTTGGGTTCAATGCTTAAAGTTGATCCCTATACTTCTTTACTATCAAGAGGAAAATTTTCTTGGATTTATGTTGAAATTGATCTTAGGAGGGAACTAGTTCCAGCCTTTAGAGTCTTAGGACATGAATTTAAGGTTGAATATGAGGGGTTTCATTTAATCTGTTTTAAATGCAAAAAATATGGACATAGGCTAGAGCACTATGGAAATACTGAGACATATACCCCCAGCTAATATGGAACAAGAGTTCCCAATCCAAAAATCCTAAGTGCAGCGAGGGAGAGCAACCTGATACTGTAGGGTAAGCAAGGATAATTTGGGTGAAGATCTAGGAGGGGAGAATAGATATAAGGATGATCATATTGGTCCTTGAATGCTAGCAAAAAAGCAATTTAGGAAAAATCCTAGCCATAGTCAACACTCTGGACCCTTCCCTAAACCAGAGAAATTTAAAGATAGTAATTTGGGATCTAGATATGACATTTTAGGGGATATAGATAAGGATGGACTCTTCCCTAAACTTGAGAAATCTAAAGATAGTAATTTGGGATCTAGATATGACATTTTAGGGGATATAGATAAGGAGATGGATTAGTTAGAACCTATAGGATAAAAGGCACATATTATTGATAGGGATTATACTGGTACGCAGAAGGTTGGTAACTATAATAAAATGGATAGGAAACCTTTAGTAACCCTAGATTGGGGGAGCCTACTAAAAAGAATCCTAAAGGTAAGGTTACATCTAAACCTATGATGTTTGGAAAGGATAAAGCTCATTTGCCTCAGGCTGAAATCATTAGTAGTGACAATTGCCACCTTGATAGAGGAAATCATAGCCAAGAGTAGGAAAGTAAAGAAGTTCTAAAACTTATGTCTTTTTTTTCAAGAAAATATTCAAGAAAACTGTAAGGGAAACCATAACATCCTTGATCTCCTGGGTGTCAATGGCGATGCCTTAGGAAAAATTCATTCTCAGCCAAATAAAACCCCTTCAGATAAACTCCCTGGATCTTCTTTTCAAATGGAGGTGGATAAGATTAGCCCAATTGAGATGAATATTCATGCTGATATCTTGAATAGTGATAGTGCCTCTCAGCAATAGGTTTTTGCCTCTAAATTCTGTCCCTAATTTTATGAATTGTCTATTCTGGAATTATAGGGGTGCTGGGTAAAACTTTTTCTAGGCTCATTAATGACCTAATCAAAGTATATAATCTTGATTTTATTTCAATTTTTGAAACTAGGATTCCTTATGAAAAAGTTGTTTTGGTTCCTAAAAAATTTAATTTGGATAGTTCTGTTAGAATGGATGTTGTTGATTTTTTCGGGGGTATTTGATGTTGTTGAAACTCTAAGAAGATTCAAGTTGATGTGTTACATAAAAATAGATTCCTAATCCACCTTAGAATTAGTAATAGTCAGAGATCTTGAATTCTTTCTTACATTTATGCAAGCCTTCAGGAAAGCCAGTAGGCTGAGGTCTGGAATCTGTTAAAAGAGTTTAGTTTGTCTATTGATGTTCCTTGGTGTGTTGCTGGAGACTTTAACTCCATTCTGTTTGAGAAAGAAAAAATAAGGGGTAGATCTGCAAATTTAGCTCTTATTAATCAGTTTGCTGAGTGCTTGAATACTTGTGGTCTTCAGGACTTGGGATTTAAAAGGAATCTCTTTACCTGGCAGAGAGGTGATATTAAGGAAAGAATTGAAAGGGTAGTTGTTAATGACCTTTGGCGTATGAATTTCCAAAATAGTCCCTTA